TGCTTTAGTGAAGTGGAAAATCTTGTCAATTGTACCCTCTTACTTCTTGAAATAATGACCTGCATTCACAATGATTGTTAATGCAATATTTTGTTGTTTAGCTCAAATATTTAATGATACAATAGGGGGAATTTTCATGTCTTATCATAGAACTTGCAAGGAATTTATTTCTTAACTTGATTCATTAGAAAATTCAAATAGCAAAACTCTGAAATTTTCATGGGTATTTCTAATAATGTCTATTATTTTAATTAAAGAATTATTTGTTTTGTAGGAAGACACCATCACTTGCTGTCCTTTTTGACTAGGATGTATTGCCTCATTCTGTGGTGAGACATAGCATAAAGACAGTCAGATTTTGTGGGCAAAGGGGGGCAAGGCACTCATGCAGATCATCTAACTGGGTCAGATCTAAAATAGACCAAATGCTGATTGTAACAGATTTTACTTATTGGTGGAATGTGAATAATTTGTTCTTTAATTATTTTACAGAAACCCCAAAAATGAAAAATTATTTAATGATGAAACTAATAGTTTTCTGGTTAAAACACATGACAAAATCAATTTGTTCAGTTAAACAGACCAAACAAACAAATCATGTTCATTCATTTTTTTTTTTTTTTTTAATAAAATATGTATCACTGATGTTTAAAGAATTTGAGTGTTAATGTTAGTACACTGTCATGTCAGATAATTTTTCTTGTCAGGATCCTTCTTATACCATTGGTGTGTGCATTGAATATTGCTGCTGTATGGTAATATATCTTGATTGTTGGCAAAATCTGAAGAGCCTGTAATGTTATTGATCCTGACATCCCAGCTTCAGTCACTTTCCTGCCAATGTGAGTTGGTTTCCCTATATTTTCCTTACATATTTATCTGGCAGCTATTCTTTTAAGTTCTCTTACCTCAACTGTATGAATTTAAGCATAACTATTAGGTTGGTTACTAGTTATCATCATTTAACTGTTGAAATAGATGTAACTAAATTCTATTATAATAATTTCTTCTGAATCATTTCTCTGGAAATCTGCCCTGAATTGCTATCTTCTGTCTTTCTGAATTCCGTTCTTTTATTTTCTAACGGGTTCTCATTCTCTTCACTCAGAGTAACCCCCCTTGCATTAGTGCCTTGCTTGGGGTGAAATGATTTAAAAGAAAAACAATAAAAAATTTAACTGCAGTGCAAGTATAAAGTCAAGGTAATGGAATGTTTTCATAAAATGATGACAATCTTTTTCCATGTTTTTAGTGCTTCCTGATATTTTAAATAAATGACAAATATAATTGACTATACTTTAAAAGACTGGTTCCAAAAGTTACAGCCAGACTGAAGTTGACTGAGTCGTCCAAGTAAAAACTAACTTTAGTTTATTCACATTGATCCAATGGCCTTGTGACTAGAATTTGAAGTACAGATTTGCTGAGCTAGGGTGAATAGAAATGTTAAATATTTATTTGCATTAATTCAAGAACTGAATGGAGAATTGTTTATAATGGAAATGAAGTGCAAACGGAGCAGTCAAACACTACTGCTAATTATAGCAGTTGGTGAAAAAGACATTCAGTGTGTCTCTGGCAGGACAGCAAAACAGAGCTGGTGCAAACCCTGGAATGCCTGGGTAGAGAGAAAGTGTCTACCAGCTACCCCATGAGTTAGGATAGTGAGCTGAGTGGTGTTAGCTATTCAAATGTTTCATGTGGAGCCTAAAAGTTTAGCAATTGGCTACTATAAGAACAGGCACATTTTCTGAAGAGGCAGTTTGCAGTATTTGAATGAATAACAGATTGCAAGGATTTCTGTTTGGAAGCCTTTTTCATGCCCTGACCATCATGATCCAGTGTTTGATTTCAGTGCTGCTGATTTTTCAGTCCATCTTTGTTGGCAGATACCCAAACAATAAGAAGAAAATGTACATAGTAAGCTAGTTTTACTGGCCATTAGTAATGTAGATGTGATCTGCAAGAATAAATACATTGCCTTATAACAAATGTGTAATGATTTGATTCAAAACCTAGTCAGTCTTTTATTTTACAGTTCTTCCTGATATCAAGGATTGAAAGATAAGTTATGCAGATCTCAATCAGTTAAGTGAGACTACTCAATTTTGCATCTTTAGACCAACAGTGAATAAATTTTCTCCCAGATACTGGACTACTATTGGAAGAAAACCATTGCTTTAAGACAACTACACTGTTAAGTAAATTAGTCTGGCAACTCCAATCTTCCATGACTGGCTGAATAAGTACTTCAAAAGGGTAGGATGTGGCCACCATGTGCTTGCAGGACCTGCTTTGTATTTATAGAAGGATGATGTTGTTATTGATTTGTGGAGTAGTGTAAAGTTCTTAGCTCATTATGGGAAGTGGAATCTGCAAAAAAAAACTTGTCAACAAGAATAAGATCAGAAAATTAATTTTTGTTTTTATTACCAATTTCCTTATAGTTTGTTTCTTTGAATTTGTCTGTAGATGTAAAAATATACCATTATGCCAAATATCAAATGAGTGTCTTCATTTTTTTTTGTTTTTTTCCTTTCTTTCTTTCTTTGAAATGGTACATAAGGCTCCTTGGTATATTATTTACTACTGCTCCTTCTGGAGGATGTAAATGTTTCACATTGCTAATGGCATTCCCTTTAACATAGGTACCTCCACAAGATCACTAAAAAAAGAGCATAGCATGATGAAAAAGACACCAAACTCACAAAAACAAAATTTTGTCTAAATGTTTATTATTTAGAGGAAAGATCAAAGTATTTTGGGGGTATTTTTTTTACATTTTTTAATTGTTCCTAGCATGTCCGAAACTTTCATTAAAAATTTTTTTTTGAGTCAGCAAAATTGACCATTTTATAAAAAACCTGGAAATGTCACTTTGAAATTCTTTTAAATATCAATTATCATTTTTTCAAAACTTATTTTAAGAAAATCAGAAATTATAATGTTTATTTAAAATATTTTGAACCAAGCTTAGCTTAGCTTAGCTTATTGAAAATAAAACAAAGTAGGTCATAAACTTTCGTGTCACTTGACAGGTGATGAATGACGTATTGACGGATCCCATGAGGATAATTTGTTCTATGGAAGGAGAAAAGTGAAATAATTTACGTTTAAGTGAACAAATTATTTACTTCATTATTTTTAAGAAAAATTTTCAGCGCTCTAATTTTTTTTTTTTTGTACTTAGCTTTCACCTTTACATTTACAATGCTTTATGGAAAATATATTATAAAGAAATTAAAATAAGACTTAAGAGTGAGATTAAATTTCATAAGAAAGGTATCTAATTAATTTATAGGTACCTTTCTTATGAAATTTTATCAGAAGTGTACATCAAATACTATAATTTTATATACTTTATTACATTTTACTGTTATTTGTATTTGCATTCATTTTATTAATTTTGATATTTTATTTATGTAAAAATGTTATAACGGAGATTAATATAAAAATAAGATCTACCACATAGGAAAACTTATCACTTAGAAAACCTGATGTGGCTTTAACTAATTTTATAATATTGTAACAATTTAATTTAAAAAAAAACCATTATAATTAAGAAATAAATAATTGTATTAAAAATTCATTTTTCATCGAAAAAAAAATTTTTTGCTTTCAGAAAATATTGTCCATATTCATAAAAAGAAGTAAAAACATTTGAAAATAAATATCTTTGTTTTAGTGAGTTTTGTATGTTACAATTCAGAGCTGATTTTCAGGTGGGGGGGGGTTCCAATTAAAAACATGATTTGCATTCCTCAAGGCCTTGTGCTTTTAACTATAGTAATCACATTTCTGATTTCTAGCGTTTTTATGATAATAAATATAAAAAAAATATTTCTGCCATGACTTTAATAAAAAACACATATTAAAAATATTTCTGCCATGACTTTAATAAAAAACACATATTTATAATAATTTCAATCATCTGTGAATAGTTCCTGAAAGTTTCATTAACATCCGACAATTACTTTTATTTTTGCAAGATTTTCCAATTTAATGTGTGTCATACCCCAAAAAAAAAAAAAACGTGCTAAAAATTGTCTGTTATTTACTAGTTCCGGTGATACAAAGAGAAACAAGGTTTTTTTTTTTGTTTTTTTTTTTTTTAATCAAAATTTAGAATGTTCTAAAAAGAAGGAAAAATTTTAAAAAAATAATTAAAATAAACTTTGGTCTTTCCTCTTAATAATGACATAAGCATTTAGAGGATAAAATTTTGTTTTTGGCAAGGTTGGTGTCGTTTCCATCAAGCTATGCTTTTTTTTTTAGCAATTTCATGGAGGTATCTACGTTTATAATATTTAGAAAACTATTATATATTAAGATCATGGTGATTTGTAGCCAGCCAACTGACATAATCTCAACAAAAATTTTCTTTGCTCTCATCACATCTATTATGCCTCTGTAAACATTTCAGGAGCTGCAAATTTTCATTTGACAATAATTTGACAAAAGTCTTCAAGGTGTCTCTATAAATATATTATTTAATTTTCTTTTTGTAGGAAGTGCTAAAAGAATTTCTACTTAATTGAATCTTTGTAAATTGATCCAGTGGGATCAATACAAAAAAAAGCTTGTGTAAAGTTTGTTGTGTGTACTTCTTTTTTCAAATGTGAACTATTGTCTCCATATTTCAGCCATAATCCACAGGGCTATTGTCAAGGGAATTTGGTGAAAGTGTTTATATGTTTTACTTTTATGGGCTGTAGTTCTACTACCTCATAGTGAAATGTCATTGGATAGGTGAATAGTTCAATTTCAGCCAGATTATGCACGGCAGGATGGTATTCAAATAATGATGATGGTTCACCTATTTTTGGACGTACAAGTTTCCAACATTTAGTCTGTCATTGTTGTAAGACATGTTTGCAAGAAAGAATTTAGTTTGAAAACTTTTAATGCATGAGATCTTTTCAGTTTTATTTTGTTTTCTCCTCTTTTTTTTTTCCTCAACAGATCTGTTTAACATGTTAGTTGCAGAAGCAGAGAAACATTCAGACATTTCGTCCATCTCTTTCTTTAGAAGGATCAGTAAGTTTGTATGCTGGCAAAAATTTAACTACTCCATGATTATCAACAAACCTCAAAACAGGATTGGGGTGTGTGTTATTCATGGAACCCAATGATGTATAACTGAAACAACAAAAAGAAAGGGGAGAAATATAATTATTCACGCATTATATTAAAGGGAAAATTGTTTAAAGCTTCTTTGTACATATGATTGTATTTTACAAAAAGTAACTTACCCAAGATCATATAAGGTACAATATGGCACACACAGTGTACGAAGGAATAACCAGATATCATTGTATGTCCAGTCAAGTAATGGATTGACTCTCATGTAAGATGGCCAGCCAGGGTCAGTTTCAGCAAAAGGTTTAAGATGTTCTGAAAGGAGAGAAAACCATTGTTACTGAAAAGAAAAATGGTGAAGGTGCAAGAGTAAAAGCATTTTAAATTAAAAATGCTTACCACAACGTGGGTCTGTAATCCTCGTTCCCATCAAAACAGCTTTCACTTCAGGGTACTGTATTTTCAGTTCTGCAAGAGCATCTTTGATTTTGCCATCAAAATGAAGCATTGTAAGATGGTATCTACAATTTCAAATATAGAAAGATGTTAATCCGATGAATGAAAACAAACATTATTATAATAATATTATAATTGGGATTAATAAGAAATTTGCATAATATTCTTTTTAATAATATTATAAATAATAATAATATTCAAGACAATTATACTTTTTTTAAATTTAATATATAATTATATTATTATTCGGAATAATATTATAATTTCGGCCGTAATAATTCATTATAATAATATTATAATAATTAATATAATAATTTCGTAATTATTATAATGGATATATTATAATTTATCTCCTAATATTACTTTTTTCAGAAAAAATATTATAATAATCCCTTGATTTGCCCTATTCATCTGTAAATAAAGGAATAATTGAAGAAACTAGAAATGGAACACATATATATGACAATCCCCAATTTATATTCTCCAATCAGTAAACTATAAACTAAATACATAAACGAATATATAACATAATTGATATGAACACACATTATTATTAAACCCCAATATGAAGAAATTAGAAATGGAATGGTTATTATAATAATAATTATTATTCTGTCATCGGTAAAATATTATAATAAAACTAGGAATAATAATGTATATCTGTAATAAATAATAATATTAATAATAATAATAATAATAATATTATAATAATAATAATTATTAATAATAATATTATAATAATAATATTATAATAATTAATAATAATGATTGAATAATTATAATAATATTATTAATAATAATAACAATAATATTAAAATAATAATAATAATATTATAATAATAATAATAATAATAAATAGATATTATTAATAATAATAAACACACATATTAATAATAATAATTCCCATTATTAATATTACCCGGGGTAATATTATTAATACTAATTACATGGGCAAATAGTTAACACCCAATTATTAATAATAATTTTAATACCATTAAACACTTATAATAATATTATTACCAATAATAATTATTATTAATAAAAATAATAATAAAAATAATAAAATAAAAAAAATATTAATAATAATAATAATAATATTATTAATAATACAATAATACTTAGATTAAATAATAATAATATTATTAATAATAATAATAATAACATTATTAATAATAATTAATTTTCATTATTATTATTATTAATTAATAATATTATAATAAACCGATTACACCATTTTCTTTTTTGATTTTTGAATGAATTCCTCCACTTCTGGAAATGACATTTTGCTTCGGATGTATAAAGCTTGTAATAATTCAGTCTTTTCTGGATATTTCCTATGTGTAAGAGATAAGACAATCAAATGTGAGTTGTGCCCCTTCCATTATAGTCGGTCTTGAAATTTATTTAAATATTTCACTTACTTGTTCACTACAGCCCAAAATAAATGTAAAAGTGCTGTGCAATCTTTTCCACCATTGAAACCAACAGCAATTTCATTTAAACTAACAAAAAATAAAAAATATTAAAATTAATAACTCTCTTCACAGTTCAGGATTGTTTAATGATGGCCAAGACTTTGAGAAACAGATATTAATTTTTCAGATACAGAATTTGGCACCCCCCCCCCAAAAAAAGTAGTAACATTGATACTGGCTTTGTTAACAAATTGGTTTCTTTTTGGAAAAATGCTTTCAAGGTAATGGGAATAAAGATAAATCTACACTTATCATGCAAAAGGCTAGAGATTCATTTCTTTACATCTGGGGATAACATTCCTAAATGACCTAAAAATTGGTTGAAAAGCATAATGAAAATCACCTGGCAAGTTAACATCTTACATATTTTTCCTTATGTGTCTTCTATTTTGATAGGATATTACTAAGTAAATGTAAGCATAGCAAATATTTAACATTTTGCAACTGTTCAAATACAAATTTTTATCCCAATATGTGCAAATTCTGTTTAGCGATGATATTGAAAAACTCAACATCTCTTACCAGAATCCTTCATTGCCAGAATTTACTTTTCAGAACATCAACAAAGGTCATACAACATGAACCATAATTTCAACAGATATGTTTCTAAATAAAACAAAGTACTTACGAATATCTTTCTAGGCAGGTTTCCAGCGTTTCTACAGCAGACTTCACTTTATCGTGCCATGAAGTCTTTTCATTTGATTCAACAATAGAATAGATTCTTTCTGTTGCATTTTTAATTGGCTCTTTATCATATGATACCAGAGAGTCTGATACGAAAAAAAAAAAAAAAAAAAATTTATTTGAATAAGTCAAAGTACTCTGACAATTCCTCATTTCAAAACATCAAATTATCAGCAGTTTCATTCCCCCCCAATATATGACAGGGAACATTAAACAATTATGTCCATTTGTAAGTTTAGTGACCTTCAATCTCATTGTACTCATAATTATGTCAATTAATGCTAAATGTTTACCAGAAAACAAAAAGCAACAGAAATTGATTCTAATATTCATAAATAACTTGTCTATTTAAAATAAAAACCACATTTATTTTTTTTTTTATTTCTGTGTCATTTATTTATACATAAATAACCTGGTCATTTTTTTTTCTTACAGATACTATTCAAGTAAATACATACTTTACCTGTACCAGCAATATTTAAGTTAATTTGCAAAATACATTGTACTTTGTTTCATTGCATTTTCCTCTTCTCTACATCCTGAATGTTCAACTAAACAACATTCTGCACAGTATAATTACCAAGTTTTAACAGACATACACTTCTCTATGAGTGCTGGCATCAGTCCTGTTGCAAAGTCGAGAACACAGGATGTTATTTGATCAATGTTTCTTTCAAGTTACAAAACACAAAGCAACAGAGAAGTATAGAAAGTTATGAGAAAGGAAAAATAAAAAAGTGATAGAGCAAGACAGCAGATTAAGCAGTGCAGTCCACTTAGCTATTACCATAAAAAAACAATTACATATATATTTGATTTTTTTTTTTATGAGATCACCTTTCTCCTTCAGAAAAAAAAAAACACTGCATAATGATAGAAGTGGAAAGCATTTACAAAAAGACATAATGAAAAGCACCTTGGACAATAAGCTTAAAACAAAAAGTCAATGCTAGCTACAACATACGGATGATATACACAGAAGTGGAAAGTGCTTGGAATGGCAGAAAAAAAACCATGATTAAGCAACAAAATTAGAGGTAGGTATTACATCTAGCAAGAAGAAAGGGTAACAGATGGAGCAAAAGGTTGCATGAATGGTGCCTAACAAGTAACAGATAGAAGATGAAAGAGGGGATTTGGTTATAAAACATGTCAGAAAACAAGCATAGTCATTATGGAAGTCATTTAGGAAAGTCCTTTCTCTTGCAGTGGACTACCAAAGGCTGTTTATTTATTTGTCTTAAACAAAATAAAATCTCTGAATGATCATTAGTTTGCATTAATCATGTTTGTTGTACTTTCAAAATTATTAAAACTAAAACAAAAAATTCTCCAAAGAAAGCTGACACAAAACAAATGACAATATAGCAATCAATTCTCATTGTTATGGTAATAAGAGTTATTATCTGAATGGCATTCATGTTACAATTAAGATGAAAAGAAAAATTTCTTTCTTTCACTAACTTATAAATTATTTAGAAAATAAGCTCTGGACTTAAAATAAAAGTATCAGTAGTTCTAAGACAGTACATCTATATTCAAAATAATAACTTCAAAAGAGCTTCATACCTGTTGGAAGATTCTCCATTAGAAATTCTTGGGCGGCATCCAAATCCACTTCTTTTTCAGATTGTAAAGTAAGTTTCACTTTGTAATAACTGGAAGGAAAAGAGAAAACAAATCAATTGTCATACAGCAGAGAGGAGTTGGGTGCTACCACACCACCCCTCTATAGACTGACAGCATTGTCAAGTTATTTTAAGTGATTTCAGGAATAAGATAAAATAACTATCCACAGCTTGTCAGAGAGACTTTGGAAGAAATGATTTATCCTAATTAGAAACATGGGGCTGCTTCACAGAATAAAGGACAAATATCATATACTCCTCCTCTTTTTTGTATTCAGTTTATTTACTCTTTTCTTCCAAAACACCTTTTCTATACTGAATTATTTAGGTGTATGCAAGTCTCCAGCATTTGTATTTAAAAAAAAAAAAAAAAAAAAACAGTTTTCCTGTCTATTTAAATCTCTAGTATACAAATAAAAAAAAGGTTGCTGGGAACTTTTGCACGTACTTAAAAATTAAACATACACATGGTGTGAATAAAAACAATGAGGCAACAACCTCTTTCATAGTGAATTTTACTTTCAACTTGAAGATAAAGAGAGTACACTTACACATAATCATGTCATGGATACTAATGAAAGAAAATCAGCATCAATGAATGGTGTTGCTAACACTTCCAAATATGTTACACACCATTAGTAGAAAAAAAATTCAATAAAGTGATGAGTTTTAAAGATTAGGAGAATAAAAGATTTCCTTCTGCAATTAGAGATGATCCATTGATAATTCTGGATGAAGAAAAACATTTATGACAAATAGACTACTAAAAAAAAGTACCGCAAATTGGAGTCTATGTGGAAAAAAAAAATAAGGAAGTATTTTCTTCTTTTAAATTAAGCTTTCTTCTCTATTATAGAAATTTTAAACAAAACTGTATTCAATATAAATAAAATACTCGTGGAATTTATTACCTCCATACTTAAATTAACGATAGTTTCTTTTCCTATTTCATTTTTAGCACGAGGGGTGCCAAAATGTAAACAAATCCATATCAAACAAGTACAATGTCTCAAGTTAATTTGTCACAACACTGAGAAATAACCTGAACAAAGTAACGCTAATCCAAGTAAATTTTGCTTTCATTTCTTACACAGAAAATATTTTAAAAAATTAAATCGTATACCGCAAACAAAAATGGAAAATAGATGCTAGCATTACTTAGCTAGCCTTTCCCCACATAGACAGCGTGGTCAACCAAGAGGAGATAACTAAAGTCATTCAATTCAGCGTTTGAATGGATGAAATTTAAATAAAACAAGTGTTCTACAAGTTCTAACCTTAAGAAAATTGAGTCAGTCTCGTAATGGAGACAGATGTTAATGATCGGTCGACAAACCATATGATTTCGAATACTGATTTACGAATCACTAAGGCCTCCCTCCCTCACTTACAAAAGTAGGGTAACACGATCTTTCTACCGGACTTTTAGTTTTTATATCATTATATTTTTTTTTTACACAATAATGTTTACCCCTGTACACGGTCCAAGAGCCACTCGTCGAGGTAGGTTACAGTTCCCATTTATCCGCGGATACCTGATACCGAAGATTATTGAAGAGTATGTTTTTCCCCTATATGACAAAGTTCAATTTATTATGAATTAGGAACAGGAAATGAAATACAATATTAATTTATGTAACGGATTCGTTCGTTCTTACCATCCTCAATACCTACCTCAATATACCTTCTTTCTTTATTATAAAATAATATTCATAAAAATACTAATAGAGCCATACAGTTTCACCTCTTCCTTTTGACATCAATATTATTACCAACATTACGTGCATTAGAAGAAACTTGTTTCTGTTGTTGAGCTTGGCAGTGGATAAGGGGGTACCGGGTACTACATTACCAAAAAAAAAAAAAACAACAACTTAATAAATTAAGTTAATTTAACTGAGCAAGACCTCATGGCGAGAAACAGCTGAGAGTTTCAAACTAATGCCAGTGATCGGTATTCGAGTTCAAGTAAAAATTCAGTCATTGATTTTTACACAAAAAGCAAAAACCAGGTAAGTTCTCTCGCCCACTTGTGAGATTTTGATGCAACATAATCTTTCTACACTCATTCAAACCTCACCAATTTTTGCTCAAGTCGGACGACGATGAACATAAGTAAATAAAAATAGCTAACCTGTTTGTTTCCAACTCTTATCGTAAAATCAAAAGTGATATTCCCGACAAATGCTATTCAAATTAATTCAACTTAAAACAAAGGCGACAGGGATCTTATCTTTTTAATTAGTTTTTTTTTTCTTTTTTTTTTTTAACTACTAACTACTTTTTTTTTAACCTACCGGCTGATTTTCCTAACACTTTTAGTTTTAATAATTTGTTTATTTTCCTTTGTAATAAGGTCAGAAATATTTTGATGGTCGTAAATACTTAAATACTAGTTTTTTACATTTTACTTTACTAAACTTTTACCGTCATGTTGTTGCTTGGTGGGGAGTCACTAGGGAGTGAACGAAAATTAAGAGTCTGTGATGATTTCCTCTCTAAGAGAAAAGTTAAGTGTTGTTGCATTGCATAATTTTCAATTCATAATGGTATGCTATGGTAAGAAAATTAGAACGTTATTTCTTTCTTAAAAATGTTTTGAATTGTTGCAATGGACAAAGAAGCCAAGGTAAGTAAGAACTACTTCAATATAGGTAAAATTTATCCGTAGAGCTACTCTCAAGTACCAAAATAAACGTCCCCCAACAAGCTGCTTGTGTAATTGAGATTTTTCTCTTACCCCCCACCACAATATAAAAAAACCCACACGCTTATTATTTTTTTATTATTCATACGCCCCATACATTTAAGTCATTTTTCAGAATGAAAAATCTTTCTTGAAGCATTTATTTTAATTTTAATTTCAAGCTATTTCCAATTAGCAAAATTCTTTGCTATATTTCAAACCGAATTTAAATTGATTGAAATGTTTTTTGAAAGCGCTAAAATGACTGAAATCGTCCACATTGACAAATCTGTCAACACAACATAATTCTCTTTATTAAAAAATCTTTCAAAAATAAAAAATATACCCTTCTGAAACTTTACTTGAGGAAGATTAGCTCATTTAAAGTGAACTTACCCTTATTTTGAAACATTACTTTTACCTTAAAATATCACAAAAGTTTTTAACAGTAAGGTGGGTGTTTTTATATAACGTGTTAATTAACAACTCTCTCGATAGACTTGTTTGGTAATTTTTTTTCTACAGAGGATATACCTGTAACAATTAATGATAACGTGAACGCTTTATATTTTTAACTACCCAGTAGTAATCTTACAAACTTAAGATATTCTAAGTAATCTAATATTTTACTGAATTTTAGCTACTTTGACTTTCGCCACTCTTATGAAGACGCTTATTGAAGTTTGGGGTATTTTTTCATCATGTATGCTCACTTTTTAGCGAAAATTTGGAGGTACCTAAAAGACATTGATGTACATTTCCTTTTACTTTGAGGTAATAATTCACTAAAAAAAAAAAAAAAAAAAAAAAGATACATTATGAAAAAAATATACAAATCCTTATAAAAAAATTTTAGCGTCAATTTTTTTTTTTTTTTAAACTAAAGTACATTTTTTTTAGTCCTTTTTAAAACCTTGTAAAATCATGTTTTGCGGCGTCAACGCAAGACCTTAAATTTGGACGGAAAATTTAAACGTGTTTTTTTTTGGGGGGGGTGAAAAACATTGATTTGGAAATTCTTGTAAAAATCAGATGTCTTGCAGTTAAACGTTCAGGATTTATTCAGAAATGAATTAAATTTTATTTTCAGAAAATCTTTGTTATATATTATATGTGTGTGTGTGTTACCTCCACCACTCATTTGTTTTTATGAAATTCTCATAATTTCTTTCTCTGTTGCTTTTGTTATAAAGACAAATCATTGAAGAAGTTATCAATTTTTGAGCATCACGACCTCCCAGTTGTAGAAAATCTGTCCTGAATCATAAAACAACAAATGCAATATTATAAAATATATTTTAATTAGAAGCTTTTTTTATTTTTATGGATAATGAATTTTACAAGAACTGACTTCGTTTTGAAAAAATTTAATTATAATATGAATTTATAAAATTTTACACTAGTACCTCCAATGATTCGCTAAAAAGGAGGATATATGATGAAATAAATGTACAAAACGTAAAAAATATATCCACAAAATAGTTGTTATTAAGATGAAAGATCAAAGGATTTTTATGCATTTTTTTTTTTAACCTTAGAAATTTTGGTTACAAATATTTTTTCTGGCATCAACGCGAAACCATAAAGTATTTTGTTTATTAAATTTAATCTATTATCTAAGAATTAAAGATAAACGTTTCAAGGAATTTTTTTTTTTTTTTTTTTTTTAAATGCATTTTAAACCTTAGATATCACTTTTTATGTGTGTGTGGGGAGGTATCTATTTTTAAATCCTTTCAATTCTGTATTAATTTGGAGCGGTAGAATGATATTATTAAATTAAATTATGTATTAATCATAAATGGCAAAGCTCATTACAATTCAACATCCAATATTTAAAAAATAATCTTGATTTTTGTGTGTGTGCCATATAAAAAGTGTCGATTTTTGTAAATGACTTTATCAAAGCAAATACATTTGCCTTAAAGTCTTACAAGAACGAAACGCGTCGGTTAAGATAAGTTTTTCTTTTGTATGTGTGTGCGGATGATGAGACAAAGTGGAAAATTAATGGAAGACGCATTTCAGCGGAAAAAAAGCTTGTGTTCTCTTTGGCGTCATCAGTTCGACTAAAAAGAAAGACAACAAACAAAAGTATGTGTCAGGCGAGTGTTACGACAACCAATTTATCCTCAGAGATTTCAAGACACGCTCCCGAACACAGTTTTCTTTTTCTTCTTTTATTCGAATTGATGACGCCAAAGAGAACATAGATTTTTCAACAGAGCAGATTTTCAGTTAGAATAGAATCAAAAAAAAAAAAAAAAAAAAAAAATATAGATGATTTACATTCTCCAAGGAGTCCTACTTTTAACGAATAAAAAAATTCAGGAAATAGAAAGGTATTTTGCGAAATTTCATGAAGGGGGGATAACATATGTAAAAAAATATTTTTTACCAAAATTTAAAAAAAAAATAAAAAAATAAAATAATTTAATTTGTGAATAAGTGCTGAAAATTTCATTAAAATCGGACAAATATTTGATTTTTACAAGAATTTCCAAATCAATGTGTTTTCAACGGAAAAAAGCGCAAAATAGTCAATGTTATTATTATTATGCCACCGTGATGAAGACATAAACAAAACAAGAGTTTTAGAAAGGATTAAAAAATTTCACAAAATAATCAAAAATACTTTGGTCTTTCATTTTAATAATAACAACTACAGACATTTTGACGATAAAACTTTATTTGGCCTTTTTCATTACTCTATGCTGTTTTCCCGCCAAAAAGTGAAGGTACCTAAATTTGTCCTCCAGCGAAATACGTCTCTGATTAAATAATTTCCACTTTGTCTTATCTTCACTCCGTTTCAATTTCTTTCAGTTATGCCCCCCTTACTTAATATCGTAAAGTAAACCAAAAGTAACATTTGTTTCAATTTAGAATGTTAAATCAGCTAATTTTTCATCAAATAATGTTTCAGAAAAATATATTTCATTTTTTAATAGAGATTTTCTGTTGATAGATCAGACAATTTTAAAAACAAAAAAAGATTCCAATCAATTTAAATTCGATTTGAAATACACCAAAGTATTTTATTTTTGCTTATTGGAAATATTAAATTTTTCTATTAGCTTGAAATCAAAACTAAAATTGAAACTTCAAAACAGGATTTTTCATTTTCATGCATTTAAAACTTTAGGTATTTAGCCCCCTAAACCGCCCACCCAGAAAGTACGGCCCTGGTGGGATTTTATCAGGAATGGAACAAACGTGTGGGGGGTGAGTAGCTCCACCCCACACTTCAGAAAATACGGCCCTGGTATTGTTGTAATGGAATTTTATCTAGATCCCCATATTTAATAATACCCTCTAAAAAATATTGGGGAAGGAGACCAGGCCCCTTAAGCAACCCCGCTTCTGGAAGTACGGTCCTGTTATTGTTGCAGTAAAGTTTTCTAAACCCCACGATTTTCCAGTTATTTAAAAATATAGGAAGGGGGGGTAGTCCTCAAATCCTCACTCCAAAACGGCCCTATAATCAATTTTCAATCGACTTATTTCATAGTTACCGAATATTCCCCAACATTCGTTTTTTGTTTTTTTTTTGTAACTAGTTTTATTTTTTCTTAGTTTGAAAAATTTGTCTTTATTAATCATTTCTTAACGACCACTCGTTTATTAGATTTTTCCTTTCCGTTTATTACGTCCACCGTTTTATTCAACACCCCAGAGTATGTGAAAAAAGATTACACTTTCACAAAATAAAAGGCGGATATACATTTCCCCTCCTAATGAAAAGCAGGACATTAGGTCGAAACGTCTTTTTTAAAGTTAATAAAAAACTGTCTTTCCTTAATTTTTTAAATAAATCTTTCAAAATACAAATTGTTATTTGCATTTCTTATTTGAGAGAAAGGATGCAAATAGAAAAAAAACAATATTGAGCGTGTCAAAAACCTTCGATGGTCACTTTTTAAGAATGATAATTATTTAAAACTAAAAATATAACATTAAAAACAAAAAAAAAACGACCTGTGTCAAAAGGACGTTTTTTCTCTTGATACCGTTACTGTTATACTACTCCCTCGGCAACTTTTAGAATGTGTTAAAAAAATAGCTATTTTTAGAATTTTGATAAAACCCAAACATGAAAAGTGAATGTTATTTTAATTGAGAATTGACAAAATTATTAACAGGGTTTAACATTTTTGTTGTCAGTTCTCGACAATGCAGATGCCAGCAAACTATTTTAATGGGTAAATTTGCTTTTTAACACCCGCGCTACATATCTCTTAAAATGTTCCCAAATCGTCATAATTCCGTGTAAATGTACATGCTGAACTCCACTTAGCAATTAAATTAAGAAAAAAACATACCGTTTTGGAGTTATCGACAATAAAAGTTCGAACTCAGTCGCGTTCAGCTGTCGGCCATTACTGGCCTTGTTTTACTACATTCACTGCTGAACATTTAGTCAGCGGAGGTTTAATTAAGAGCCTTTTCACTGCTCTTAACTGAATTTACTCGTTTAAAATTATTCCGCATTTAAGTTACGTCGTAAAGCGATTACAAGTGGTGTTTTTTAACAATTAAAATGCAAACTTTGTAAAGAGAATGAATAATTACAAAATAAAATGCTAGAAAGTAAATAATAATTAATGACCAAACTTTGCACATTAATTATTATTTAGTTTCTAGCATTTTTTTTTATTTTATAATTTTATTTTGTAGATAATTGTAAAAAGCATGAATATTTACAAAATAAAATTACAAAATAAAATGCACGAACTTTGAAAAGCGCATGATTATTTACAAAATAAAAAGAAATACTCCTTCCTAGCATTATTTTGTAAATAATCATGCTCTTTTCAAAGTTCGTGCAAACTTTGCGCATTAATTATTATGTTTTATTTTTAATGTAAAAGAAAAGCTTTATTTTATTAATTTTTTTTATTTAAAAAGAAAGACTTACTATAAAAAAAAAAAAAAACAAACGTGTCATCGCTTTACGACGTAAAGAAAGAATTACTAAAAAAAAGACACCACTTGTCATCGCTTTACGACGTAACTTAAATGCGGAGTAATTTTAAACGAGTAAATTCAGTTAAGACCAGTAAAAAGGCTCTTAATTAAACCTCCGCTGACTAAATGTTCAGCAGTGAATGTAGTAAAACAAGGCCAGTAATGGCCGACAGCTGAACGCGACTGAGTTCGAACTTTTATTGTCGATAACTCCAAAACGGTATGTTTTTTTCTTAATTTAATTGCTAATTGGAGTTCAGCATGTACATTTACACGGAATTATGACGATTTGGGAACATTTTAAGAGATATGTAGCGCGGGTGTTAAAAAGCAAATTTACTTGTTCGCTTGTTTAATAACATGGATAAAAAAAAATTCATAATTATTTCTTTAAATGAAAAATTTACATTGTGTAGTTGATTTAATTTTTACTTTATAAATTTTAAATATAAACTTGTAAAAAATATTTTTTTGAACGAAACTATGTTATTTAAAAAAAATAGTGTTTTTAAACTTCTGTTGATGGAAATGTAAGATTTTTGCTTTTGCATTTGAAGAAATAAAATCACTGACAACAAAAAAAAAAAATGATTATGAATTTTGAAAAATTATTCATTAATCATTGGGCACTGGAATTTTTTTTTTTAAATAAATTCGAAACAACTCCATAATTATTTTAAGAATGCGACCACATAACCAAAACCAATACAGCCCACCTTCCAGGACAGGTGTTAATTTTAAAATTATTATTACTTAAAAAAAAAATACAAGATTTGCGTTGTTCCTACAGAAACGCACCTTTCCAAGAAAGGTTTTCCTTTGTATGGAGAGTATCTATTACTCTCCAGATCATGAAAAGGATTTTTTTTTCTAAGTCTTAGATGGTGAGATTCACTTTGCTATGAAAATGCATAGTAAATTGATACACCCCCCACCCCACAAGGCAAAACAAATAAAATGTGAAATTCGCGGCTGTTCTAAAATTATTTGAAAAACACGACACAAGAAAATAGTAAATAACACGCTTAATTAAAGAGATTAACGGTAATCGAACGTTTTTAATATTTTAATTAATTTGAAATTATTTAAAAACAAAATTTCGTAAGGTATTTAAAAATGTGTTTTTAATTTTTAGTAAGATTAAGAAGCATATTCATTTTTTTTTTTTTATAGAAGTGCGTTTCTGTAATAACACCAAAATTTTATTTTGGTGGCTAAGGGCTTTTTTCTTTCTTTTTTAAATTTACCACAACAAAATGCTCATTGATATTTTTTTTTTTTTTTTTTTTCCTATTAAGGGTGGTTTAGTGGAAATACTGAGAAAACAGATTTTTACTTTTTCTTCATAAAGATCCCAATTCATTAGAGGGTTTTTTTTTTTTTTTTTTGGGGGGCTTTAAAATTTCTCAAACTGTGTAAGTTTTGTTGTAAATGCGCATGGTTAGTGGATACAGGGTTAACCCGCGAACCGTAAAGTAAACGTACCGAGGACGAAGAGACTTTCTTTTTTTCTTTTCTTTTTTATTAACTCAATCGAAAGTTGCTTTGAAAATGGAGATCGCAACTGGCAAGTAAAAAAAAAAAAAAAAAAAAAAAAAAAGTACTTTAAATAATTGATCAGAAACTTACTTTATTTTTTTTAACTTTAATAATTATGTTGTTTACCGCTGGATTACACTAAAACGCTTCCCCTCCAACTCCCTTTTCTTTACTGGTGCCTTTTTTAAAAAAAATAATCGTTCATGATACTCAATCAGCAATTAAGCACTTATTTGGAGAGGAAAATGCGTGTGGCCCACTATACTAACTACTGAACTACTTTTGCAAGTGCTATATGTGAAATTGACTGTAGCCAATGTATGATGGGACAATGAAAAGTTCTCGGTTGGACGGAGGACTTTTCAGCGCTCCCTCATCCTAACTGTAACAACAACATTGTCAATAAGATTAAGAAGGACGCCTTGATGGCAGGTTTTTAAAGAGAATCTTGCAAAAATACGTATCGTTCATTTTCTTTTCTTGAAAGATCTAGTCTGCCCTGTCTGCATTAAAATAAAAAAAACTTGCTTCAATTTTTTTTTTTTTTTTTTTAATCTAGCTTCAAACAACGCTTCTAACACCAACGGGAAAGATGCAACTAAATATATCACATGGTTTTTAGGCGCGCTCTAAGTGTACTGGAAACGAAGAAAAGTAGTTTTTTTTTTTTTTTTTTTATCTTATTTTTAAAAGTGGGTCAAAAAGTCACTGATAAAGGGTAAAAAAAGATATCAATGTAGAGATTTAGTGCAAATTAAATAAGGACATTAAGTTTAAAAAAAAAAAAACAGGAAAAATTAAGTGACGTGAAAAACCCACAACTCAAGTGCTTTTTTTTAGTCTGATTTTAAAAATGACAATTCAACTAGGATGGTCGAGCAAGATCTGTGTTAGTAAAAAAAAAAAAAAAAGTTTCTGTCCGCTAATTTTAAATAAATGTAACAGCATGAAAGAGAAAAAAGAAAAACTTGCCTTCACACTTTTCTCATGTTAATCTCATTAGCTTTGTTGATTTTACCACAAAGTTTCGGTCGATATAATCTTCGGCCTTCTTCAGCTGCATGTCATTGTTAAAAGACTGGTCCAAAGAGTTAGCTTTTTTTTTCTTTCTCTGGATTTGGTGAAATTATGAAAACTAGTTCATTTCATATTTTACTTTGTTCAAAATTAACTGGCTAGATAATATTATTATTATTATTATTTTAAGAAACAGGGTCACAAATTCCCTGGATTTTGGTTTGGGGGTTTGATTACTAATAATACAATTTATTTTAATTTAACGAAGAATGAAAAGTCAGGTAAACTTTTTAAAAATTAAGTGTGGGGCAAGTTAGATCAAACAAATAAATATGGTTAGCAGTTTGCTTCTTTGGGAGTTTTTTAACCATAAAAAACGGAAGCTGATATTATTACCACTTACTAACTTCCCTACAAGTTAACTCCATTTGTCTGGAAAATTAATTCAGTTTCAGAACATGTTTTTTGTTTGACTAACAATTTTTTAGAATCTTCATCCCACGCACATAAAGAATTCAAAGTTTTTAAACTATGAGATAGTGCTGTCATTGTTTCCTTTCTGGATTTATATTGATAGCACATAAATTTCCAATTGAGTCACCTAAATAAAACAAGCAGGCAGTAGGTAATGTTTTAGTTTTCAGTCGCATACTTAGAATTTTTTTCTCTCTCTCTCAACGGGTTTAGGATGTCTTTCTCAAACAATTCTTTTAAATTGAACTTTCTATAAGTAAAGAAAAATAAGTTCTTCCTTCTTTTTAACCAATATTTGACCATTGTCATAGAAAAGTTGAAAAAAAAAAATCAGTCTAAGTTGAAATGGTATTTTTCAAATTTTTTTTATATAACCGGGACCCTGACTCAATAAAATACCATTAATAGATCTGTAAAAAAATTCTCAACTTTTTTTAACAAATAAAAACCGGTTCTTCGTTGAAAATGTTACAAACTTAAAATAACTTCAAAGGCGTTTAAAGTTAACGAACCTGGTCACGCAATAATGAGTTCGATCCACACTTGTGGCAGTGTGCAAAAAGCTCAGGTTAGGCTTCTTGCAGTGAGAACGAAGGAGTGGGCGCTGAAAAATTGTTTTGGGAAGTGGATCGCGCCGATAATTTTTTTAACATCCCTTCGTACAATGTCAATGTCCAGTTGAAATACAAGCGAAAGTAACACAAAGTAACAAAAATCATTTCTTTCTCCATTTTGAAATTTTGATCTATTTATTTTTCCTCTGAGGCTAATTTAAGATGAGTAATACCATTTTTTACCTTTGGCTGAGATCAAGTGATAGCGCCCCGAAATGATGGTCCTGTGTCATCAAAGACGGAACCAGCACTTATCCCTAGAGCCTGATGCATAATTATTGAACTGAATTTTGATTTGAAATGTTTCCTGTTTGATCTATGTGACGACATTGACAATGAAGGAAGAAGGTTGAAAAATGATTTTGTTTATTTATTTAATTTTGTTATTTATCTACGGACAAGACTTCGGTACATTACCTGATCAATAAAATTTAGAACACGAACAAATAATTGTCATATGAAAAATAATCTCTCTCACCAGATTTTGGTTGGAAGATGAAAAAAAGATAAAAGACGAATATTCCTGGTGAGTGTTTTGTTTGGAAAAAAAATCCTACCCTCTACTACCAAACGTTCTACCTGGCTACATATTCTAATTATGAATTTTTAAAACGTCCAAAAATTATATACAGTGTAACCCGGATATAAGAGAGATTTTCTCTGGTCCCAAATTAGAGCCTGTGTTAATGTATATAAAATAGACCAAACCCGAATATAAGAGACTTCTTCTCCGGTCCCGACAACTCTCTTATATCCGGGTTACACTGTAATTCAACATTTGCAAATGGTATTCAAACGATTTTTTTTTTTTTTTTTTTACTTCAAGTTAAAACTTTCCTTTGATTTCTACACATTATTAAGCAAATACACAAACTCAATCAAACCAAAGATTGTGAGGGGAGTGTTAACATTAACACTTATTTGCATTTACTAAATATGAGGACAAAACGGAGAAAAAAAGTAAACATATTTTTAAAAATAAATAAGAAAACTATCATGGCATCAATATACTTACTTATGAAATACACATCAAAATATTTTCTATACTTGGTAACCAATCACTTAAATATCAAATAAGTTTTACTAATAAGAACTAAAATTATTTTTTTAAAGAAATGACGAGATCCAGAGATATAAAGAGTCATTTTAAAAAATATTTAGTTAACCTAAGTAGGCATAAATTTGTGATCAATTTGTTTTAACAGTTTATCAACCCTTTGTTGGTTATTTAAAGCTGAAACATATTTGGAATTTCTTGTTTTGCAAGTGAATATTGTATAACAGTGATTTTTTTTTTTTTTTTTTTTTTTTTCCAAGCGTAAGCCTTAGTATTTAACCCATAACTGGGAGGAGGAGGAGAAAATGGATTCATTCCTTTCCCAAGGTT